AATAATTTTGTGTCCAATAATTTGGTGTCGAATCGATCGGTGTCGAATCGTACTGTGGTCAAACGGAACACGCCCCGCAAAACAAAGCGGAGCCGACCAGGCCCATTGATGCCACCTTCCCTTCGACATTAGGAGACGATTCCGGCAGCGACAATAGGATAGAAAACCCCACCAATATACATATAAATCAACTGCACGCGCACTCACGCTCACCGACACCTTCGCAACACGCACACACAGATACACATACACACAACGATTCGTGGTATGAAACTCCCTCTTATTCACCTGTAACCCCCGATCTTCTCGCAGAAAATCCCGCGGATCTGCAATCCGCCCCGACTCCTCCACCTCCCCCTCGCTCTCCTTCCCCCGAACCATCTACATCTAGAGACAAACCCGCAGATGATGAATCCTCCGATTCGACAAGATCAACCACCCCTCCGCTCGATCCTAGATTTCAACACTTCCTTCGATTAGTATCCACCTATAAAAAAGCAAATCCGGAAAAAATCCCTTTTATAATCGACCCGCTAACAACAGATCCTTCCGAAATCTTCCGGGTAATAACCACCACTCCAGCTAGAAAACTCCTCCCAGTTAAATTCCCTTATATAGATGATAACTGTCTAGTTCCCGTCCACCATTTTTATACAATGTTCCTTCCAAGTTCCGCAAAAATCCAGGAAATAATAGAAATAGACCTTGAATAATTCCTATCCCACAAATCGCGCGGCGTCTTAAACATGCTACCGACACAGTTACACCTGTAAAACCCCGCCGGAGGCCCTTCACACACACATCGCGTCACTCATACACACACATGTATATTCCCTCTCTAGCTTCCGAGCGATGACCCTCCGTTTAAATGTAAAATTCGCGATACCACATTCATCCACACGAATACACATCTCAAAATTGTAACACCCATTAAAGGAATAAATTAATATCATATGTATCATAATTTCTCCGTTTAATTAAGACGACCTCTCATCATTCCACATCCTCAATTGATCGCACGGTCTCGTCCTTTAGTCCGTGGAGTTAATTCTCCAGACTTGAAAAGAGACCAACGAGTGAGTGTTCGCTAGACAGAGTAAGATCGGCGTACGCCGTTGACCTGTCGACGAACATAAGCAAACTCGCTCGACTCTGTTGCAGCGGGATCGCCAACCTGCTGTGCGGAGATAGACAGAGAAACGACAGCTCTCTGTTACTCCACCATAGCCCGACCGTAACTGTGGGCCAGGACGTAACACTATTAAATGCAATATTTTACGTCACGTATACTAGTTTTTAGTTTCCAAAGTAGGATTTTAGAATGTATCCAATCTCTCTCTCTCTCTTTCTCTTTCTCTCTCTCTCTCTCTCTCTATCTCTCTATCTATCTATCTATCTATATGCTCTCTGAATCGAAGTGAGTATATATTCAGTCGTATATTTTTGAGCTCTGTCTTCTCGATCATTTTTCTGCCGCTTGTTGCCCCTTTGGGGCTCTGATTTGTTTCAGCCGTAGTGACAAAATCTTGTGCTTTTATACTGACCAATTTTGGCTGCGATTGTGGTCCACTTTAGAGATCTTTTTGTGCTTTTCTTTTTTTGGAGTTTTGGCGATATTTTCTGGATTTTGCCATTGACGGTTGACTTGGCTTAACGCTCTTCCCCTTCTACCACGGGTTTTTGCGGCGGGAGGTCGGCTTTCCAATCGTCGACGGGATGTCAAGACGCGAGGCTCCCTCTTCTACTGCGTCGAGTTCGGGGAATAATACACACATGGCAGATGTCAATAGCGATAAACAACACGGTGTTCTTAAGAGACAGCGCTCCTCTGCGGCGCTGTTTTTAAATATAGGTTCTTTCGGTATGTCCATCGGTATTATTATAAATTTATTTAAGGTTAATGCTCTGAAACGCTCTATAGCTGAGCACTCTGAAACTGTCTGAAAGCTGCTCCTCTCGGGTAAGGATTCTCTTGAGAGAAAGGCTCTCATTAAATCTGCCTTTCGGGCCTGCAGAGAGGCTTTCTCGGAACTGTCTACCGCCTATTTTGCGCTATTAGAAAAGGAAAATAATTCCTCTTTGGTCGCTGTGAAATCTGTTAAGACAATGATTACCGAGGCGATCTCCAAGGTTCAGAAAAATATTTTGCAACATCGATCTGCTGGACTAATGACTGAGAAAGGCATTGTGCCGATTTGCTCTTATGCATCGGCTGTGAAATCTGCATGCCCGACCGTGAAAGTTGCTCGTGGTCCTACTGTTACTGTGAAAAAATCTACGGACATTCTAATAACTCCTAATGCGAACACAGGCAATAAATACGCAACATCTAAGGACACTAAAGAGGCCTTTCAGAGAATTATTAAGCCTTCCAGTTTTAATCTTAAGGTTAACAGGATCACACCAGCTTGTAACAACTGTGTACGTATTGAGGCAGTCTCCGTTGATCTGCCTAAAATCAAGGACTCGGATGAGCTTGCAAAGGCCGGGCTCAGTGTCGAGCAGGTCTCTAAGCTAAATCCTAGATTAATTATTTGTGGAGTGCCTAATGGATTTACAAAGGAGGATATAAGGTCGGAAATAATTGCACTTAATCTAAGCACGTTTGATTCGCCTAAAGTCGATGTAATACACATTTTTCTTCCAAGGGCTAATCGATCTACAACTAGCTGTGTTATTGAAGTATCGCCTGATATACGAATGTTTCTGCGTCGAGAGCCACATCTCTACATTAACTACGCATCTTGTGTATTTGAGGACTATGTGCGGGTTCTTCAGTGTTTTAAATGCCTTGCTTTTGGACATCTGGCCAAAAACTGTAAAGGTTCAGCACTGTGTGGTCACTGTGCAGAAGAGCATGAGACGAAACATTGTTCTAAAAGAGAAAGCACCGCCAAATGCGGAAATTGTAAAAGGTAGTTGCATAAGGAGTCTACACACTCTGCGTTGGATGGAAAAAATTGTCCGATACTTTTGAAGAGGCTTCAAGACAAAATAGGCTGGATTAATTATGAATAATACTACTGAGTCACAACTGCGAGCCTGCCATGTAAACTGCCAGTCCTTGCTCGCACATCTCGATGAATTTAGAATATTTTTTGTTAGATCATTGTATCATATTATTTGTATTTCAGAAACATGGCTGAAGCCTTCCATCCCGGATCAAATAGTTTCTCTACCTGGATATCAAATATTTAGATGTGACAGAGTAGGCAGGATGGGTGGAGGAGTGGCTTTTTATGTGGCAGACTCACTTAGTGCCAAAATATTGGCAACATCTAGCTGCAACTGATCGCGAAAACCAGAATTTATGATTGCTGAGATCTCCACTACCAATGACAAATTCGTGCTCGCTGTGAACTATTGACCACCTTATTGCGGTTACTTGAATGAGTTCTTCAATACATTTATCGACATCTCGACATCTTATAAGCATTATATTATCTTTGGTGATTTCAATGCAGACCTCACACATATCTCTTACGATTCTGATCTCGTTAAAAGCTTTGTTTCGACTTCCGCGATGCATTTAGTACCATTTGAGCCGATTCATCACACTGTAACATCATCTACTTTGCTTGACTTATGTATGGTTGACGATAGTGACAAACTGATTTCTTTTAACCAGCGGGGTATGGACTTTCTCTCCGCTCACGACTTAATTGAGATTAAGTACAACATAACAGTTACGCGTTGCACTGCTAAGACTATAACCATCAGAGATTATAGTACATTTAATGCTAATAATTTTTACGAAGACCTGGCCAGTCTTGACTGGAATGCAGTGTTGCAAGCAGATGATATAGACAAAAAGGTGTCACTATTAAATAGTAATTTACTACTTTGTTATGACAAACACGAACCTCTTAAAACCATTCATCCAAAGCGAGTTCCTGCACCGTGGATCACACTGAACATCAAAGCTCAAATGGTTGAAAGGGACACTTTGCGCAGAAGATGGAGACGTCATCGAACGGAAACCAATTACAACTCCTATAAACTGATCCGGAACGTTGTTAGGGAGAGGGTGCGTGCGGCTAAGGAAAGATACCATCTTAAAACTTTTTATGATCTTAAAAAACCTTCTGAAACTTGGAGAAAACTACGCCAGCTAGGCCTCATCAAATCGCGTTCAAACGATAGGATCCTACCATTCTCGGTCAATGAGTTGAATGATTTCTTCATATCGCATATTCAAACAGATGTTGCGGAAGTCGTGGAACAGGTTTATCTCGGAGAACCGTCCTACGAAGAATTTCAATTTTACTGGTCCAATATCGAGAGTTCTAATGTTAGAAATGCCTTTTCTCGCATAACATCCAAAGCAGTTGGAGACGATGGAATATCGCTAGATCTCATAGGACTAGTTTTGCAGCGCACTCTGCTTATTATCACACATATTTTCGACTATAGCTTAACCAGTGGCGTATTTTCGGCAGCATGGAAGTCTGCAATTGTCTGCCCCATCCCTAAGACTAGATGGCCTTCTGAACTTAAACACTTTAGACCAATCTCTATCATTAATATACTTTCTAAGATGCTTGAGCACGTAGTTGCAGAGCAAATGATGGAGTATTTGGAGTCACGAAAATTGCTGGACTCTTTTCAGAATGCGTATCGGAAGAATCATTCAACTCAAACTGCTTTGATTCGTGTTCTGGACGATGTTCGACAGGCTGCTGACATGCGTAAGGTGACCATCTCAGTGTTCTTTGACTTCACTAAAGCGTTCGATAATGTCATATACAATCGACTAATTGAAAAACTGAGATTAATAAATTTTTCGAGCTCGTTAAATTTGCTTCTATCTTTACGGAAGAAGTCAGGCTGTACGTGACTCATCTACTGGCTTTACGTCGACAAGGCGATCGCTGTCTAAAGGAGTTCCTCAGGGATCCGTTCTTGGGTCACTTCTATATATTTTATGTCACCGATTTTGAAAAATCTCTACAATACTGCAAACACAATTTTTACGCTGACGATTTACTAATTTACACTCATGTTGAGCCTGATTCACTTAAAGAAGCAATCACTAAAGTAAATGTCGATATACA